GCTCCTCCCCTTGCTGCACTTTTGGGTGAGATGGTTGGTCCTGCTTGGTCTCTCTCTGAGTTTTTGTGCTGATCTCTACTCCTTGGAATTAGGTCTCCTCTATGATCTTTGAGATTTAGAGAGCAGTATCTTCAGGACCCTTTCTGGCATCTCAGGACAAGGTACAAGGGACTTCAGATCCCTTGGACCTGTCCTGGTATGAATACTGTGGCACAATAATGGGCAGCTATGTTGGTCTTTGATCTACATTGGTCTATTCTGGACCAATAAACTACCCTGGGGCATTCTCAAAGGAGCCTGCTACTGGTGTCATCTCTGCACGTGGAAACTTGCAAGAAGGGCTTCCCTTTTCCGACTCCTCTTTGAGGCAGCTGGTGGCACAGTGGACCAAGCACTGGGTCTGAAGTCAGGAAGTCCAGCCTCAGACACTTAGAGCTGTGTGTGACTCCGGGCAAGTCACTTAACCTGTTTGCCACAGTTTTCTCAAATACAAAATAAGGATAATAATAATAATAATAATAGTACTTACTTCATATCGTTGTTGTAAGGATAATAAGATAGTATTTGAAAGAAAAAAGTGCTTAGCACAATGCCTGGCACATAGTGGGTATTATAGAAATGTTTATTCCCTTTTTCTATGGGTGGCAGGCTGACATTTTGTACAATTCTAGGGTGAAAGTAGTTGTTTACTGAACTTTCTCATTGGATTCCTTGATCGTTATTGGTCTGATGCAAACTTTTGGTTTTTTGAAATAATTCTGTGGGAGCTGGGCTGTCTGTCTCCCTTCCAGAGGGACATCTTGGCAGGAAGTCCCACAAATTCACTTGATTGGTATAGCTTATGGGGGATGCAGGTTCCTTTCCCTTGCTAAGAAAAACCATCCCAAATCACTTTGTAAAGTTCTTGGATGTCTCCCACTATCACCCACCCCTTGAAAAGTTTTGGTTATATTCTTAGCTACGTAGAATGCTAGACTTAATTGGCTAATGGTCACCCCAGGCTAGGAGGAAGCAACCACTGGACTGAGATAGCTATATATCATAATATATGAGTAACTGCTGCACAGGTCTGCTCAAAAAAAGTAACCTTCTTATCTCTCAGAAAGAACAAGGGGTCACCTCCATACAAGTTGGCAGATTTCCTCCCACAGCTTGGCAGGGTGACTTTAACTTGGGCTCTGGGGCAAGTGACAAAGGCCCACAGAAAAAGCTCATAGACTAAATGAAGGCCCAGCTTTGACACATCTACCACAGCAAAAATCTAAAAATCACACCAGACCAAATAATGATCAATAAATCCAATGAGAAACTATAGTAATTGACTTCATCCATCCAAAAACTGAACAAACCATCAGCTAGACATCCATGGGCAACGGAAACAAAGGGTACCACCAGAAAAGCCAATGCCAATACAAGCAAACAAGACTATAGCTTCTCAAAGAAGCAGAGACGGGCTATACACATGTAGCCTGTAAGGTTCTGTATCTAGAGACAGCAAGAATGGAGGACTCCCCCAAGAAAGCCCCAAAGTAGTCTGAAACCCACAGTGGAGAGCTTGAAAGTGACTAGGAGAAGGAATGCCCAGTTTGGGCATGGCAGAACTCAGACTAAGATACCCTATGGCCAGGGGCTCCAAAGTCCCTAAGCACTTTGTCTTGAGACACAAGAGCGGGCC